TTGTTTGGCGGACCCGGGCTGGGGATTCGAACCCGCCACCTTGGGTGTATGTGGCTGGCGCCTTAGCCGCTTGAGCCACAGGTGCCAAGCCAGCACATTTTCTAGAATGAGTTCTCAAACTTAATTGTCCAACCTTGTAAATTATATATATATATATATGTAACAATACAGGATATGAAAAATTTTCAAGAAAATAAAGCAGGGCTCAGCACCTGTAGCTCAGTAAGTAGGGTGCCAGCCACATTTATAGAAGCTGGCAGGTTCGAGCCTGGCCCAGGCCTGGTAAACAACAATGACAACTGCAACCAAAAAATAGCCAGGCATTGTGGTAGATGCCTGTGGTCCCAGCTGCTTGGGAGGTTGAGGCAGGAGAATAGCTTAAGCCCAAGAGTTTGAGGTTGCTATGAGCCGTGATGCCACAGCATTCTACCAAGGGCAACATAGTGAGACTCTGTCTCAAAAGAAAGAAAGAAAGTAAAGCAGGGTGAAGAGAATCAGGAATTCTAGGCATGGCAGTTTGCACTTTTCAAAAAGAAGTTGTCATGGAAGGCCTCACTAAGGTTATATTTGAGCAAAGACCTGAAGGCGCTGAGGGAGAGAACCCATGTGTTTATCTGGGGGAAGAGCATTTAGGGCAGGGAAGCAGCAGAGTCTGAAAGGTGAGACTGCACCTGGTATGGGAGGAAACGCAAGGGGGCCAGTTTATATATACCTGAATGGGCTAACACTAAAACATTAGAGGACACCCCTTTCTGACAGTGTCCAAAGATATGTTTAGGCCAGGTGCAGTGCCTCACACCTGTAATCATAGCACTCTGGGAGGCCAAGGCAGGGGGATTGCTTGAGCTCAGGTGAAAAACCAACCAGGTGTTATAGCAGGCACCTGTAGCCCCAGATACTTGGGAGGCTGAGGCAAGAGGATGACTTGAGCCCAAGAGTTTGAGGTTGTTGTTAGCTGTGATGCCACAGCACTATCCAGGATGACAGTGAGACTGTCTCTAAAGGAAAACAAAAATGAAAAATTTTAAAAATTAAAACAGCAAATCACAGTGGGAAAAGATATTTACAATCCCTATACATAGTGTTTGTAATATTTTTTAAAAAGTCCTATAAATCATAAGGAAAAAAAACATGAGAATGGCAAATAAGCACATAAAAAGCTGCTCTCATCAGGGAAATGCAAGCTAAAAGTAAAAAGACTGGTAACACTAAGTGTTTGGAAGGATATACAACAATTGCAACTATTGTACATGCTGCTAGGAGCATAAAATGGTGCAGCTGCTGTCTAAAACTATCAGGTAGGGTTTACTGCATGTATGCCAATTCCACTCCTAAGAAATGAGTACTAGAATGTTCCTAGCAGCACTATTTGTGGTACTTTTTTTTTTTTTTTTTTTTTTAGAGAGAGAGAGTCTCACTCAGTTGCCCTGGGGTTGAGTACAGTGGTATCACAGCTCAACCTCAAACTCCTAGGCTCAAGTGATCCTCTTGCCTCAACCTCCTCAAACTCCTAGGCTCAAGTGATCCTCTTGCCTCAACCTCCTGCGTAGCTGGGCTACAGGCACCTGCCATAACACCCAGCTAGTTTTTCAGTTGAAGCAGGTCTCACTCTTCCTTAGGCTGGTCTCGAACTTCTGAGCTCTGGTGATCCACCCGCCTCGGCCTCCCAAAGTGCTAGGGTTACAGGCATAAGCCACCATTCCCGGCCTGCAGTACCTTCATTAAATCATAGTGCGTAGTATATTCACAGTGGAGAGACACACAGCAATGAGAATGAACAGCCTATAGTTACATAAGAACACCTAATGGAGGAGGTTCTTATAAAGAGAACCTGGCTCAGAGAAAGCCAGGGGGAAACTGTGGGCTCTTATGGGACAGAAATTATCTAAGGGGGCAGATTTTCCCCAGTCTCTCACTCACCCAGATTTCCCCCACCCCCCAGTCACTCACTAAGCTGAACATCATATATATGGTTTATGTATCATGTCATCATATATATGTTTTACACATTTTTCTTTCGATATGTTACGGTTCACAGTAAAAGTAGGGGAAAGGTCACAAAAATGTTAGCCACGTGTTGAACAGTGATTATAGTACAAGAAAATGGGAACATATATTTTTGTTTTAAAACTTCCTTTTTCTTTGACCTTTTGGTTAGCTGGCATGCTGATAGAACTCAGAAACTGCTCGCTATCAGGAAAACCGGAACTTGAGTTGATGAACTTGTTTTCAGATATCTCATCAATGGGGCCTGAATGAACAAGCCCTGAATAGGAATCTGCATCAATCATGAAGACAATAAGGAAAGAAACACACCGCAGAAATCTGTCTGTGCTGCAATAGGAATTCTTGAGTGAGGTCTTACCTCTTCTCTAAACCTCATCAGGGATGTCCTGATTATGTCCAGAATTTCCCCTGAAAGCGGAGGTTCTTAACCTGTATAGAAATCAGGGGTATCCATGAACTTGATGAAGGAAAAATGTTACATGTTTATTTTAACTAATATAACAGAAATGTAGCCTTACTCCCAGTTATAAATGCTGGCAACTAATGGCAATAGGAAAAGCGGTACTTGCAACTTTCCCACCAATACTGTTACTTTTTATGCTACATTACAATTGTCACAGGCATCTTGAAATACTATTCACATTCATCACCACTTGAAATGATAGCAGATCTTATAATTTGATGTACTAATAAATTGACCCGTATTGTACTACATCTCTGTTTTGTTTCAGCTTAATATGTGGTGATAATTGTATTTCAGTGTAATTGGCTCCATTGCAATCCTGTGTATTTCTGTGCGTGCATGCGCACATGTGTACTTTTTTTTTTTTTTGAGACTGAGTCTCACTATGTTGCCCTCAGTAGAGTGCTGTGGCATCACAGCTCACAGCAACCTCAAACTCTTGGATTTAAGTGGTTCTCTTGCCTCAGCCTCCCATGTAGCTGGGACTACAGGTGTTCACCACAACGCCCAGCTATTTTTTTGTTGCTGTTGTCATTGTTTTATTAGGTCCAGTCCACGTTTGAACCCACCCACCTCCGTGTATGTGGCCAGTGCCCTACCCACTAAGCTATGGGTGCCAAGCCACACACATATGTACTTTTAAAAATATTTGATGGGGGCTGGGCATGGTGGCTCACGCCTATAATCCTAGTATTATGGGAGGCTGAGACAGGTGGATTGCATGGGCTCACAGGTTCAATGATGCCATGGCACTCTACTGAGGGCAACAAAGTGCGACTCTGTCTCCAAAAAATAAAAATAATAAAATAATAAAAAATTTAAAAAATATTCTGAGACTCGGTGCCCATAGCTCCGTGAGTAGGGTGCCAGCCACATACACTGAAGGTGGCAGGTTTGAGCCCAGCCCGGGCCTGCTAAACAACAATAACAACTGCAACCAAAAAGTAGCCGAGCATTGTGGCAGGCACCAGTAGTCCCTCCCAGCTACTTGAGAGGCTGAGGCAAGAAAATTGCTTAAGCCCAAGTGTTGGAGTTTGCTATGAGCTGTGCTGCCACAGCACTCTACCAAGGGTGACATAGTGAAACTCTTGTCTCAAAACAAAAAATTTCTGAGAAGGGGTCCACAGATTTAACCAGATACCAAAGGATTCCCCAGAAAAAAAATTATTTTTGTTAAGAACCACTCTATTAAATGTCAGTGGGCTAGGCACAGTGGCGCATGCCAGTAATCCCAACACTTTGGGAGGCTGTGGTAGAGGATCACTTGAGGCCAGCTTGGGCAGCATAGTGAGACCCCATCTCTTAAAGAGATAAAATGTCAGCAAATCTGTGTTGACTGCAGTCATGAATTTCTGCAACTGGCAAAGCAAACAGCAGTAGCTGATAGAAACTCCTCAACTATACAGAACTGTTTTCTGCAGCTTAATCCCATGTCTTTAGAAACTCACTTTCTCTGTGACCCAATAACTATCCACACCTCAGACCAGTACCTGAGCAATTGCCACACCCCAGTCTGTGTGACCGCAGGAGTATACACACTCAAGTTTGTGACAAGCAGTGTCCAATCCCCAGTCAGAAGTGGTGTTTAAACTTTGGAGTGTGTTTATAGGTGTGTCTGTACTCCGGCCTCCAACCACAAGAATCACCACACCCTAGTCTGTGTGACTCCAGGAATGTCCAAACCCCACTCTATGTGGGTCAAGGAGTATCCACACCATGGTGATATAACTCAGGGGTCTTCTCACCTAAGTAGGTATAACCTAACCACAGGAATGTCCACACCCCAGTCTGTGTGACCCCAGGAATGTCAGGCAGAATTGTCCACACAAAAGACTGTGTGATCACAGACCCATCCACACCCATTACAGTGCAAATTCAACAGTATTCACAAGAGTCTTTGAGACCCTAGGCTTTGTGAGTCCAGCAGTGACAATGGCTTAGTCTGGGAGACCACAAGAGTTTACACAGCCCTGTCTTAGTAGTGCCATGATTGTGCAAATCATGCACCTCAAACGGACCACACAGGTGTCCAAATCCCAGTCCCACTGACCCCACAGGTATCCACAGCTCAATGTGGTGTTCTGACAGTGGTTTCCCCCGTCCAGCAACCTCAGGAGCATCCACTCCCCAATCTCTGTGCCCCCAGGACGGTCCACACCAAACTGTCTACAACAGAAGTCATGTCCAGGCTGGGCGTGGTGGCTCATGCCTATAATCCTAGCACTCTGGGAGTCCAAGGTGGGTGGATTGCTTGAGCTCAGGAGTTTGAGACAAGACTGAGCTATAAAAAAACTAGCCAGGCATCATGGCAGGCACCTGTAGTCCTGGCTATCAGGAATCTGAAGCAGGACGATCACTTGAATCCAGGAATTTGAGGTTGCTGTGAGCTATGACGCCATAGCACTCAACCCCAGGGTGACTTGAGTGAGACTCTGTCTCAAAAAAAAAAA